TTTTCAGGCTTCTTACCACTTCCAGCATCACTAATTTCTCTAGGGTACCATGGTTAATATTAAGACATGAAATATTGAGAAGACCAACAGAGATAAATATGGTATGAGACATGCACAGAGAACTGAGGCACAGGAGGTTGTGTGCATTGCGACTAGGCCTCCCTCGTAAAGACAATGGTCTGACCAACAGACTGGCTGCAAGGTGGAGGGCAAGATCCCATAGCGTTTGTATTTTTCCCTAACTCTGCACCATCATGAAGTCATAACTGAACACCACAGCATCATGATTGCAAAATGCACAATTTTTCAACTGTCACAGTGTAAATCCTACAAGATCACATCTTAACAGATGGTCTACTACTGTATATGTCAATTAGCGAGTCTGGAATTCTGACGGTAAGAGTTCATACTGCTGCTTGAATCATCACAGTCCTTACAACCAACAATAAAATCACCTGATGCAGGGTATTTCATACTTAACGTTTGTGCTAATTCACCTTTTTCCAGATTTCAATGGTGCTATCTGCAAGCCTCCGACACAATTAGTATGGGCAGAGGAATGTATAAACTATGGAAAAGAAAAAAAAAAGTGCACTACTGTACACAACAGATTATCTGAAAAGTCCCACTTTGTGGTGAAAGGGGAACTGCTTTTGGTTTAAATTTGATTAAATTTAAAACAGAATACAGAATTTGAAAATGTCAAGTTTTGAGGGATTAGCGAGTGTTTAGCTGTAAATGACACTTACTGTAAATGACACTTTTAGTGACACTTTTAGTGTCATTTACAGCTAAACTACAAAATAATACTCAGGTGATGCTTCATGCTGCAGACATTAATGACAAAATATTTTATCAGAACACTATATTTAAATTTTTACTTTGGTTTTGGAGTTTTTTTAAATCATGTGTATTTAGATGTTTCTACTTGCTATTCAGTAATTTTAATGAAGCAAAACATAAATAAATATACAGCATTTAAAAGTCAAGATAAAATTTCTATTGTATCAAATCCTCCTGTTCCATTACAAGCCACACATTATAACAAGATTTTAAGTGAAGAACTATTAATTTTTTGACTAATCTAGATTTTTTAAATTCAGCATATGATACACATTACTGTACAAGTATTCCTTAAAAAAAAAAAAAATTAGACACTTTGAAATTTGGCACATGTACTACTAAACTCTTTAGTAAAGCAGTCACAGCATACTGGAGTATACAGAATTTTTTTTTATGGACGAAGAGTTGACAGTGATATACTATACCTGTATACAAGAACACAGCTATAACAGCTTGAAGATACACTGTACATACCATGGTAGTTGTCTTATTCCTAAGTAAAAGAACTAATCTGCTGGAACAGATATAAATATGCATATTTTAAGATAAAGTATTTACAGGTATAACAGGGTTATGCCATGACGGGGAACTACAGTATTAAGAATAAAATAACTCTTGTGTAGTTATTTACATATTTTACACCCTCTTTAAAGGTGTAATGTTTTGTATATAATTATTGTCCTTGCAACATTGGTCATTCTAATTTCATACAAAAAATAATTTTTTGGGGAATTCCAAGTACAATTTTGGTACTGTACAATATTTCAACTGTACTTTGAAAGGCCTTCATATGGAACACCAGCTATTTATCTACAATCTCTGAACTTAAATACAGCCACTACTTGCAACATCCTTGCAAGCTGTTGCATAGTAGCTCTTAAGAACAACACACACAACCAGGAGCTTGGACTCGACCCCTGCAACCTCAACTAGGTGAGTACACACACACACGTCAGGAGCCAAGATTAATATATGGTACGGTCATGGTATACGAAAGGCATTGGATAAATAGAGGCCATAGTAGCCATTGCTGGCAAAAGATTATCACCGGAAGACCTTGCTGTATCAATGAAATCATAAGAAACTTCTGAGATATTAGCCAGTTTTAAAATCGCTTTTGAATATAAGAGTGGGAAAATAAGAAAGGTGTGTACAGGATGCTAAACACAAAGAGAAACTACAATGAAGATGTTGTAGTATGGAGAACCATATGAACCATGATGTCTTTTTTGTTTGGGGAAGTGGGGGGGGGGGATGGGATCATCCTGCATTGGTGGGAGATGCTGTGCATGTTTTGAGAGAGAGAGAGAGAGAGAGAGAGAGAGAGAGAGAGAGAGAGAGAGAGACAGACAGACAGACAGACAGACAGACAGAGACAGACAGACAGAGACAGACAGACAGAGACAGACAGACAGAGACAGACAGACAGAGACAGACAGACAGAGACAGACAGAGACAGACAGAGACAGACAGAGACAGAGACAGAGACAGAGAGAGAGAGACAGAGAGAGACAGAGACAGAGAGAGAGAGACAGAGAGAGAGAGACAGAGAGAGACAGAGACAGAGACAGAGAGAGACAGAGAGAGAGAGACAGAGACAGAGACAGAGAGAGAGAGAGACAGACAGACAGACAGACAGAGTCAGAGAGTACCACACTTGGATCCACTTCGAGGACAGCGTGAAGCAAGCTTCTATACCACAAGATGGGTTTTAGAAAGCAGCAACTTCACTCTGGCTGTACCCTTCTCCAGAACATCACTTCATCTGAGATAATTTATCCCCAGGATGACTCGAGTATGGAACACATTCGTACAGCATTACGATGTCAACGAGATAAAGTCAATTGATCGGATGAAAATGCTGGCCCACAGATGGGTTCAACTTCATCCTGTTCCCTAACAATAAAAATGCTTTCAAATGAGGTGATGTAGGTAACAGCTCTTAGCTTGTCAATAAAGTTAGGAATCTTTAACCTGTAAATAGCTTGTTAATAAAGTTAGGGATCCTTAACCAAACCTTGTCAAACCCTGTAGGAGTTGTCAGTGTGTGGTGTTTGTGATGGCATGCAGTGTATGTATGTATGTGGCATTTGTGTACATGTGTATGTATATTTTTATAGGTTTTTATTCATTACTGCACAGAAAAAGTGGGCTTGATGTTCAAGAAGACTGGAGGGAAAGCACAAAGGGTCAAATAACGACATAGTGGCAGCACTGTACATATGGTGTGTGACCTGCACATGTTTAACCCTTCTTAATATAATAATAATAATACACGTATAACTGCAGCAAATATAAAAAAGAAGAGAACTGAGGTACATTATGAGAGGGAAGAAGAATGACATTGAAACTGAAATGCAAATCATACTAAAAAATATTGTCAATGCAGTAGCACTTGAGAGAAACTACCAAATGTGGATAGAGAGGAGGAACGAGGAACAGGATGGGGGAACAGTACTGTGCCTTGTGGAACAAAGCTTTTCACTGTGGCAGCTTCTGACCTGACTGTCTACTATTACTCTTTATGTTCAACTGGTTAAAAAGCTGAAGATCCGTCTGCCTCACTTTGTCAGTTATCTCTTTAGCATGCATTTTGTGCACTAACTGTATTCGTAAAAGAACAACAAGCAGCAGCAACAACAACAAAAAATGCTGAAATCTTAGCGGTAGAAAACGAAGACTTAAAAGTTATGGTAAGAAAACATGGGAAGCAGAAGAATATGTTAATGACAAGTGACCATAATATGTTGCTGGAGAGATGCTGAAAAATCATTCACAACACATGTCAGGTCAAAATTAAAATATGCAATAACTGTGTGGTGTCCATACGTATTTTAAAAAGGGCAAGTAATATAACAAATAGTATAGACATGCTACATAATACTTTTGAGAGCTAAAAAGAAATTTATGAAGATAAGAGTACAGTGGACCCCCGCTTAACGATCACCTCCCAATGCGACCAATTACGTAAGTGTATTTATGTAAGTGCATTTGTACGTGTATGTTTGGGGGTCTGAAATGGACTAATCTACTTCACAATGTTCCTTATGGGAACAAATTCGGTCAGTACTGGCACCTGAACATACTTCTGGAATGAAAAAATATCGTTAACCGGGGGTCCACTGTACTTAAAATGTCTTTGCTGGCTAAGGAGTGGTATAGGATGAATGTTTCTAGGTATTATCAGCAGGAAGAACAAGATGCTAAAAGGGTTTTCTTTACAAATACTACATGTATCATGGTAGGACACTCAAATGGAAACTAGGAGGACCTTTTATACCTGGAGTACAGTGGACCCCCGCATAACGATCACCTCCGAATGCGACCAATTATGTAAGTGCATTTATGTAAGTGCGTTTGTACGTGTATGTTTGGGGGTCTGAAATGGACTAATCTACTTCACAATATTCCTTATGGGAACAAATTCGGTCAGTACTGGCACCTGAACATACTTCTGGAGTAAAAAAATATCGTTAACCGGGGGTCCACTGTATACCTAGAGTGTGTTTCGGGGGTCAATGCCCCTGCAGCCCCGTCTGAGACCAGGCCTCGTGATGGATCAGTGATCAACCAGGCTGTTATTGCTGGCCGCACGCAAACTGACGTATGAACCACAGCCCAGCTGGTTAGGTACTGATTTGAGGTGCCTCACTGACAAGACACCATAAGCATTGTTCTGCTCCTGTAACTAAAAATCGTCACAAAGTTATTTAAAATCACACCCACAAGCATACTAAACAGAATGTGGTATCCATAGATTATAATATGCAAGCCTGAAAACTGTAGCCACTTCCACTATCAATAACTATACAAATTTTATTTCAGAACTATACAAATCACAAGCAAATGTTTGCATAAAAGCTCTTTTTACTATTTCTAATGTTTATGCCAAAACCTTACTCTACAATTACAGTGTGTGTGTGTGTGTTGTGTGTGTGTGTGTGTGTGTGTGTGTGTGTGTGTGTGTGTGTGTATGTATGTATGTATGTATGTATGTATATGTGTATGTATGTATGTATGTATATGTGTATGTATGTATGTATATGTGTATGTATGTATGTATGTATGTATATATATATATATATATATATATATATATATATATATATATATATATATATATATATATATATATATATTTTTTTTTTTTTTTGGTGCTGTAGTTGTGATCCAGGTTTAGCTCTTTCTGTGAATATAATACTTATTTTTTTGTGAACATGAGTCTATGCTATTCAATAATTTCTTGAAAGCCAGTTACGTAACCTACATTAGAAGTCACCACCTTGATGAAGTCGAAGATCACATTGTATGCCATATGAGAGCAAAGATAAGAGGAAGGACCCTTGGTATTAAACACACTTCTTGTTCTAAATAACAGACTTTCTTTACTTACCATCACATAATAAGTAATTTACAACATAGTTTCTTGTTCCTTTCCTTTACTGCTTTTCTTTATTACATGTGAATCTACTTGGAGTGGGGTTGTTGATTTTAGACTGTTTTTATTCACATTAACACATATTACACCTTTGATTGCATCTTCATTACTGTTTTTACTTCCACTTATAATGGATCCATTTTCTTTGGATGGGCTTGTTTTGGTACTGAGAAACTGCTCTGTTGATTCAGAGAAAGTTAAGTGTTTTTCCTTCATTCTTCCATTTACCTGCCCATTTTGAGATGAAACTGGGCCATTACTTTTGGGGCTGATCTCAACATTTTTCAAATTGGTATCTTCCAGGAAATTACAACTTTCATCATGAAAATCAATTAATATTTCAACAGGGGTAGATTCACTAGTGTTCCTGACAGTGCTTACTTCCACTGAGGCAGACTTGACTGTTGAGAGGTAGGAAGGAGAATATACAGGGTCTTCAAAGCTTGATTCTTGAACAACTATTTTCTGATGCTGAGTTCCATCTGAGGCTGTGCAAGGCTGTAACTCTATTGCTTCATCATATGACTCTGTTGAACCTTGCTCCATACTCATATCCTGACGAGTAAGTTTTCAATCCTTTATTACACAAGAGACACAAATACATACACTGTATCATTACATATATTTTTTAATATACTAGAAGTATCTCACTGAGGTAGGGTGACCCATAAAAGAAGAAACACTTTCACCACAACTCACTCCATTATCCTGCCAGAGGTGTACTGACATTACATTTCAGAAGTCTCTACAAACTGCAGTATCTGCACCTTTCCTCCAGAGTACAGGTACAGTACTTTCCACCATACACAACAGGGAAAGATGAAAAAAAAAAACTTAGTGATGGCTACTTCAAAGGCAATGGAACTTAACAAGGTGACACCATGGATTCTATGAAAGGGAGCAGAAGCACTTTACAAACAACTAGTTAATAGACACGAGACAGTTGCATAAGATCTGGAAGACAGAATGTAGTCCCTTCATTCAAGAAATGAGACAGCAGGAAGCACTGAACAGTTATGTACAGTATACTCTGCAAGGTAAGGAAGATCTACAAAATGAGATTGGTAGAAGACTTGGAGAGTTCTCATAAACATTAACCAGCATGGTTCAGAGATGGCTAAGCTTGTCTTATTAACCTGTGGAAATTCTATGACAAAGTAACAAAGGTGAGGGAGAGCAGAAGGAAAGGAAAGATAGTTATTTATTTATTTAAGGAAAGGAAAGGAAAGGAGAGAGAGAGAGAAAGAGAAAGAGAGAAAGAGAAAAAGAGAGAAAGAGAAAGAAAGAGAAAGAGAAAAAGAAAGAGAAAGAGAGAAAGAAAGAAAGAAAGAGAAAGAAAGAGAAAGAGAGAGAGAAAGATAGAAAGAGAAAGAATAATGGAAAAGAGAAAGGAAAAGGGGGGGGGGTTATGAGTGGATTGCAATTTTCTTAAACTGCAAGAAGGTATTTGATACTGTACCCCATAAGAGACTGAGGCCTAACTGGTAGGAATAACAGGGAATGTACTCAATTGGAGTACAAGGAATGTACTTCCTTAGGGAAAGTAAGCAAGCATGATTGTCTATGAAGAGATGTTAGAATGGTAAGGAGTAAGCAGTAGGCTTCCACAAGGATCAGTATTAGGACCAGTACTTTTTTTTAATGTGTATAACATGTCAGCTGGGACTTAATTAGATGTATCCCTGTTTGCTGATGTTAAATTAATAAGGGGAATAAAATGCAGATGAGGATAGGAAAAGTTGATATGGAGAAACTGCAAGATTGGTCAGATAAGGGGTTGCGTGAAGTCAATCCCAGAAAATGCAAGGTTATGAAGACTGGGGAAAGGGCTAGAAGACTGGATACGGATTAAAGACTGGGGACAGTGGCTGCAGACCTCATTCAAGGAGTGAACATAGTACTTAGCATATTACCAGAGGCTCACATCAACTGAATAACCTCTGTAGCCTTTAGGACTCTCAACCAGGATAGTACACTCCAGGACCATTGTATGACACATGTCAGGTTCTTCTTGGAGTGTGCAGCACAGACATGGAACTCCCAACTGAAAAAAAATGTTGAGAAACTAAAAGTGGAAAAGTATGCAACAAGGCTTGTTCCAGAGCTAATGGGTATAAGCTATGAAAAGAGGCTAATGGTAATGAAGCTCAAGACACTGGGGGCCAGAAGATAAAAGGAAGATATAACAAAAATCGTTCAGAGGAATTGGTAAGGTAGACAGGGACAGGGGTACAAGAAACAGGTATTTGGACACAGCTAGAAACTAAAGATACAGACAGGCCACAGGAATATAAGAAAGTATTTCTTTAGTTTTAGAGTGGCTGGGAGGTGGAATGATCTTGAATAAGTGTTTGAGACAGCATACATAGTTTGAAAATCAGGTACTGTATGATATCCCCATGAGGCTAAGAGGGAGTGAATTTAGCAAACTTCAAGTTGAGGGGCATGGCCAGGACCTAGGGCTAGACTCCTGCAACCATTTATAGGCAAGTACACACACACATGGGAATATAAGGGGTTATACAATGCACAACTGAGGCAACGTGGTGGAGTACTGACAGGACAAGTCTCGAGTAATTTATATCTTCAAAAACATTACCTGAAGATCACGTGACATCATAGTTTTATTTGTGGCATTGAATAACCCAAATGGGTTTCGATTTTTTGTCAACATATGAAATATAACTGAATTCAATAATTAATTTACCACCAGTCATACTTGTGCCATGACTGCATATTCACAACATTGTATATAAAACGTGTTAAGCAACAAGAATATTAACCGGAAAATTTTTCACAATCGATATTACTGTTTAATTTAGACTTCAACAACAAAAAGATTAATGTAAACATACTGTATTGATGCTTACATTATCATTCATGATTTGTTTTGACACAGACATGAACTATGGTGATTTATTGTTTCCCAAGCTTACTAAGGCACATCAGAATGACATTCAAAGGATTGAGCTGCCACCATTCCTTGCACTTTATAATAATAATAATAATAATAAATAATAATAATAATAATAATAATAATAATAAAAATAATAATATACATGTGGGATAACAGGTATATCTCGCTACTTCTACATGCATTTAGGTCACACTACACATGCATGTACACATACATGTATTTATACACCCATCTGGGTTTTCTTCTATTTTCTTAGCAGTCCTTATTCTTCTTTATTTCCTCTTATCTTCACGGAGAAGTGGAAAAGAATTCTTCCTCAGTAAGCCATGCGTGTCGTAAGAGGTGATTAAAATGCCGGGAGCAAAGGGCTAATAACCCCCTTCTCCCCCTTCGTCTTTTTAGATCACCCTACCTCGGTTGGATACGGCCAGTTCAGTGCAAAATAATAATAATAATAAAAGCCTAGAAGAGTGCTACTGTACAATTACCCTTCTTTTGTGAATAAGAATATCTTGGGCAATAACGTATTTTCTCAGAAAATATAGCTCTATATGCAATATCTTAATAAAACCATTGCACAGTATATGAATTTTACTAATACTGTATATGTATTATGAAAAACTTATCACTAAAAGGCCAATTAAGAAGTTTATACTTACCCTTGACTGTTGCCTAGAGACATAAGATGGTGTGAGAGTGGGTGTAGGGGACGGAGAGGGAGTACGTGGCCGAGAGTTTGACCCATCACCACCTTCTGATCTGGGCATCTGGGGAGAGGGTGTCTGTCGATCACGTCGCTCTGCTTGCGAGTGAATGGAGTGTAGTGATGTTCTGCCACGGCTAGCCAGCAAGCAAGCGAAACATTACAGAGAGTTAGAAACTTTTATGCTTTTGTAATGCGTGGTACATATTAATGGCACATCAAATTGATCAGGGTTCTCTCCAGAAACAAAATTGATCTCAGAACTAGGGCTGAATAGTAATTACATTTTCCAGTACAATTATATCACAGTGCCATACAGTCTCGTATTAAATCTTGCACCAACCTTGAAGTCTAAAAGAATATATTTTGTACTTCTTTCACAAACGTGATTGCAGCAAACTGGTTCGCACAAAGGCACAAAAGCACACAAGCAATAATAAAATGAACAGAACTAGAGAGAAACCTGATGAACAGAAACTAGCATGAGCCTCTGCTGACTGAGATACAAAAATTGGGATAACCTCAAGATTTGCAAACCGCCCCAAGGAAAACAGTGAAATATAGGTATGCAAATTCTTATATAGGCTAAACAAACAATTATTAAATTTTCCATAAAGTTTAGCAAGGTTAGCTAAAGCTACTATGTTAGTATTTATGCAAAATACAACTGGAATATAAAAAATTTGCATAAATACAGTATTTTTCAATTTTCTTTAAGGGGTGAATCTTATGGTAACCCATCAACTAAGTGTACATTTACTAAAAAAAAGTCAAATTTTATTAACCATTAATGTGGAGAGTGGTTGACACTACTGATCTGACAGATGGTTAATAAGTTAGGCAAGCATCCTATGGACCTTCAGATTATTGTACGCAGTGTACAATTATGTTAAAATAAATACAGTGAATGTGCATTTGTAAAACTATCATGAAAGTTGAACAACACTGTATGACCCTTGTGGGTTTAACAGTTTTTATTGTAATAGTAATAATAATAATAATAATAATAATAATGTGAATGTGATGTTGAAGAATACATCTCGAATATATTGTTACTGGTACAACAAGTCATTTGGTCAGTTAATATATGTAGATGGAATACAGTAGTACAGGAGGGCCATTCAAAGTAAAATACACATGGTTTCCCTTGGTTCAAATGTATTCACTATTATACAATGGGTACTAACAATGTCTGGCTGACAAGTTGTCCAAAACTTTGTGCAGAAAAAAAAGTTGTGAAAAAGACAATGCCTCTCTGGATTTATAGCTTTTTCACATTATCATGCAATGACCCATTTCTATCTGTGCTATACATTGGGAGTTACGATCAGTGCAGCTCACAAAACGCACCAGAGATTCTTATTTCGTGGATTTAAGTGTCTGACTGGGCTTGGTACAGGTGTTATGGTTTATGGACACATCTACTGCAGAATGTCAGCTGTATAATCCCTATGGGTTTAGTGATCTTTAGATAATAATAATGCAAAATGCCAGTGATACTTTTAAACATTTTTTCCCAGCTGATATTACTCAGAACCTGATAACAAACTTGTTTTAAAGTCTAAAATATATGTAGATTTCTCATTGATTACTAGCATCATGCTGCAAGTATGAACATTATTTCATCATTTATAGAATTAATAATTAACAGAAAACCAAAATACAGCACATATAAATTTGTTACATAAATATTTAAATATGGAGAGTGACATGTAGGGGCACAGGGGAACACTAAATACCCATAGTAGGGGGACGGAACAATACCCATGATAGGGGCGCAGGGAACAATACCCATGATAGGGGCACAGGGAACACAAAATATCCATGTTAGGGCCACTGGGAACATAAAATACTCATAGTAGAGGCACAGGAAATACTATCTCCCTGACAGTGAAAAATGCGGGTCAAAAATCAATACCCTTCAAAGGAAATGTTTGGAGCCTGCTGACAATCTCTATCCAAGGAGTTGGAGATGCCCTCTCCATGGATCAAATCTTATTACCTTCCATTTCCCAGTTGCTATACAACCCTATTTACCATAAAAAATAGGAAGGATCCATAAAAAATAGACTGACTGGTTGCACAGCATGCATTTACACAGCACGTGTGTTAATGCAGTACAGGTGTTTGTGTGTTTATACATAAAAGGATAAATAATAATACAAGCGCTGCATATAGAAAAGAATGTTTTTTTATGTTAAATCTACACAATGCATGTAATATATTTACATAATCATTTTCTTTGAGATATTTTACTCTCAAGAAAAACAATGGAAATATTTTCACATAGTTGAAAATGTTTTAATGATTGGCATGGTAATAATACTGGTAGATCGTGACGGGTGCTGCGGCTTTGTTGGTGAATGGTCACTTGTAGTTTATGCTTGTTTACCTGGAGTTTACCTGGAGAGAGTTTCGGGGAAAGGCTAACAATATTTATCATTTCAACTATGGTCATGAATGGTGACTACAAGCAGTTAGCTAGAAGATATTGATGGTTAAGAGAACAAGTTTAAGCAATGGGCGGTAATGCTGCCAGCGTAACTTTAGTTAAATGTTGGCATCAGCTATGTTAAAACTGACTTGGTTAGCTGTTACTGACTATGTAGATCAGTGGCTAGCAACTGGTTTGATAAGATAAGATAAGATAAGATTTCGTTCGGATTTTTAACCCCGGAGGGTTAGCCACCCAGGATAACCCAAGAAAGTCAGTGCGTCATCGAGGACTGTCTAACTGGGATTAGTAAATGGTTTTTAGCAACCTGGATGAATGGCCATTAATGACTTTCCTGTGGTTAATAACTACACGGTCAGTCACAACCACTCAAGTTAGGTTGTTGTGGTTAGTGACAGGATTAGTAACTTGTTAGTGGCTTTATCAATGGTCACTAAAGACTGTTGTAATGTGTTAATGTCACTCATAATGGATATATTAGTACATCAAGTTTTTGCAAAATTAATATGCAAGAGGAATATGTTGAAAGTAAAAGTTATTATGAGTCAGATTGTGATTTATGGAAGAGGAACAATTGCTGAAGCTGAGAGGCGACTATGATGAGGTTATGGGTAGATTGTGACAAGGTTGAGGGAACACTCGAGTATTTACTCACCTAACTATGTTTGCAAGGACTGAGCTCCAGCTCATGTCCCCTCTCCCTCTTAACCACCAACTGACTGGTTTGAAGGATCTTCAACCTCTTAGATTTTTGCTGCATATACACTTGAAGTCATATATCAGGTATACCTTGATTACAACTTCTGATAATACACTCCACCTTCTCCCCACCTTTGTAATGACGTTCCTTCTTACAATTCCTTTGCTCATTTTGGTTATTAGCTTCCATTTGTGCTAGTTTTAATACAACTCTTTTCAAAAAGCATTCATCTTTTTGATACCTCTGAGTATTTGAAACATTGTGATCATGTCTCCTCTGTGCCTAGGTATCTCTTGAGTTATGACATTTAGTGTATTAAATCCGTCCTTGTATATTAAGTCAATCTTAAAATTTAGCTTATGGCAAGCCTCTAAATCTTAAAGCTGTTTTGAGTGCTTTAAGTGCAGGATCTATGCTGGTACTGCACACTCCAATATTGAACTCACATATCCAGTTAGGTCAGGCAAGATTTGTCAGGAAACAGAAGAATTGTTTCCTGACATGGGTCTTAGTCATATGATGACCCCCTCTGGAGCTTTTGGTCATCTGACCCAGGTCTTCCGCTGGTTGACAGGTCCACCCCTTTGAAGATTATTAGTATCCAGACCTAGGTTCCAGTGTACGTAATGTATATACAAATATGTAGTACCTGCTGAAGTTCCTGAAGATCATTCTTTCATTTGCCAGTGTTGCACATACAAATGTGGTGTACTATTTATTTGTGTTTTCAATGACGGGTTTGGTGTTTTGTTCTACGTTTAATTATTTTTTCTTACTGTCTGCTGCATTTCCCTCAGCTGATGTGCTATTATACAATGGCCTTTCACCTATCATTATCATTGTCCATTTATAGGTGTTAAACTTGGGAAACCTTTTTGTCATTCTTACCTCTATGCAATCGTCTTCCACCACTGTTTTTCTGACATTTACCTCATTCATGTGCAGTAACATAGATTCAATTTCTCCAGGCAAGTTATTAACTTACTATCAGAAACAATGACAAAAAATTTTTTGTGAGAAAGTTTACTTGTAGGGTTGAGTAGAAATGACTTGTCTTTCACTCTGATTGCCTTCTGTTTGTCAGATATTTCTTAGAGTTGAATACCCTGACTGCTTTCCTAATTTATAAATTAGTCACTAGTACAAACTTGGAACGTTTAGTTTTCCTGCCCTACCCTTTCCTGTCATACAACCCAAGTTAGTAATGCACAATTTCCCTTCTCTGAACCCATGCTGTTGGTTCTTTTGATCGAATCTTATTACTTCCCATTTTCCAATGTTAATGACCCCTACGAATGTAATAATAAAGCACACGTCAGGAACATTTGCTTGTAATTTAGGGGTTTGCCCCTGTCCCCCTTCTTGAATATTGCATTGGATTTGTACAAAGTTCTCCAGATTTCTGGTATCTCCTCTGTCTCCAACTTAGTATGTATTGTAATGTTTCCTTAATGGCTTGCTCAGGAGTTTCACCTCATCTTTCAGTGATACTGTTTGGACCAATAGCTTTTCTCGCATCGGTACCCTATAGGACTGTTCTTAATTTCTCGTCATTTACCACTGAACATGTCACTCTTTGGGAGGAGCTCTCTCTAATTTCAGGCAATGTCCTTGTATTGTAAACACTTGGAATCCTTTGCAGAGCTCCTCTCAAACTTTCCTGTCATACTAACTCAGCTGAGTATGTGAGGAGTTTTGGGAGAGACTGAGTGTGTGAGGAGGCTGGATGTAGCGAAGTTGGAGAGAGTACATCTGGAAGAAGGAAAAATGAGTATCTGACGAGGATGAGAAGAGACTGAATACTTATATGATAAAAGCTAACTGGAATATCTAGCAAATAGTTGCAGCATGATTAGAAGAATGAATATCAAGATAGAGTCATGAAAGGAATACAGATGCAGTGTTTCCAGAATTACCAGTGTAATATAATTTCCAAGCATCTTGCCCATATTTTTGTGCTGTATTTTACAAATCGCTCTAAATTTTTATTTTAATGGTGTGGGCAGTGAAATATGATATGGTGAAGTCTGTTGGATGGCAAATAACAGTCTCTAAGATATACTGTAACAAGAATGTTTCAGGGTTTTGTCCATGAGCCGATGGACCTCTTGCTTATGTAAAGAACTCGTGACCAATAATGATCAAGGCATCTGCATCCACCATTAAAAAGTGGGATGTGCATAAAGAAAGTTAATGACCCTGACCAGGCTGATGAACTGATTTCCACGCCACTGACAGGACCATGGCAACAGTGGATCAATATTCCACCGTCAATTCATACTACACTTGTCCTCACATCTTCTACTACCCTTCAAGAAAAAAAAAACTAAAGCCCTACCATTATAAGCTCCTCTATCACTTGAACCACCTATTATCTCACAACACACACTTCCCTTGGCAGTCTACAGCATATCTACCCTCTCTATCCCACTTTCCTCGCTCGTCCAACATTATACTGCCTTTCACTTCACCCACCTCGACACACTCGAGGAGCCGAGTCTTGACCCCCACTCAAACAACTTTGAGCCCACAATGACAACTCAAAGACAGCTAGAAATGAACCTCTTATTCTTTTACTATAGTGATATAATAATAAAATAAATACAACTACTAATAATAATGATAATTTTTACAGATTCTTTGATGTCAAAGATGAAACTATTTATTACACTGCCCTCCCCTTTTCACATACCTCTCCGTACATATGCCACCTTCCTGCTGTTGAACACTGTGTGAAATGAAAATGAAAATGTTTATTTCCTTGCAAAGCTTACAATGTGTGGTTTACATATTATAAAATATTAATTACAAGGAAGGCCTTTAGCAAGCCTAGGCATTTCAGGCAGAATGACTTGCAAGTGTCTGGTGCTGTCTCGTCAATACTGTACACTATAATGACAATTTTAAATACTGTACGTACTGTAATTCATATTTAAATGACAAACACTTACAGCATTAGAGATTCAGAGAAAGTGAACAAGATAAGGTGAAAGTACTGTGTATGATGAATAGGTAGACAAAAGCAGGTAACAGTATAAAAACTGAAATATTTGGAAGAGACGTTGTACTGGCTGAGAGTAAGGGAAAGCCGTTTTATTCATTGGGGAAAATTTCTTCCGAAACGGGTCTCCTCTACGGCGATTCATTGGAGCTTCTGGCCCCGTGACCGAGGCTTTCTGCATGCTTACCGACCACTCAGTAAAATGATTAACTCATTATATACAATGTGTATTATGTAACTGCTGGTTTGTTAGTGGAAAAGTGTCTTGAGGACAGGTTAATATATGTGCATTAAGAAGATGAAATAAATTTTCAATGGTGTGACTACTATAAAGTTCCTCTCCTATGTGCGGGATTTTTGGCAGATTGTTCTAGCCATGGTACTGTGACTTTATTCTTTACCATGAAGGAAATCTTAAGTAACAGTCAAAGTCTTCCCTGCATACATTGCATCCACATAATTGGCGATTGTATACTTGCAAAAATAATCCCGAGAGCAAGCAAGTTAAATAACCCAGTCCTTCATTCCTTCTCTGATGCTGTACCTGGCATAGGTCTTCGTCTGGGAAACGAGAGTCGAGTGAGAGTTGACTACCAGCATGTCACCTTTGTACAGCCGGCTGTAGAGCTTTCTTAGCTCCTGCCGCACCTCTCCATTCATGAGGCAGTACAACACAGCCACAAAGAAACCCTGGGAAATGTACCTCAGAATTAATTGTCTTACTTCACATAAAAAGAAATATGGTTATACAGATTCTGTTAACATGATGTGATAATTAAAATGCTGACTAAATGTGGTTAATCAGTCTTATACTTGGAGCATTTTTATATCTTTGTAGAGAATGATTCTAACAATCATATCTGACTTATCTGTTTTCAATTGTTATTGACACTGTCCAATTAAAAGCCATATTTGTGAAATTTTGTGTTCAGAAATGTTTCACACACACAATAAATAAATAAATAAATAAATAAATAAATAAATAAATATATCCTCCTTTCAACAAACAGCCGTATCCCACAGAGGCGGGGTGGCCCAAAAAGAAAAACAAGTTTCTTTTTATAAATTTAGTAATTTATACAGGAGAAGGGGTTACTAGCCCCTTGCTCCCGGCATTTTAGTCACCTCTTACAACACGCATGGCTTACAGAGGAAGAATTCTGCTCCACTTTCCCATGGAGATAAGAGGAAATAAACAAGAACAAGAAAGAAAATAGCAGAAAACCGAGAGAGGTGTGTGTAGTATATATATGCTTGTACATGTATGTGTAGTGTGACCTAAGTGTAAGTAGAGGTAGCAAGACGTACCTGTCTTGCATGTTTATGAGACAGAAAAAAGGACAACAGCAATACTACCATCATGTAAAACAATTACAGGCTTTCGTTTTACACTCACTTGGCTGGACGGTAGTATCTCCCTGGGTGGTTGCTGTCTACCAACCTACTACCTAGGAAATAAATAAATATAATATATATATATATATATGTATATATATATATATATATATATAAAATATATATATATATATATATATATATATATATATATATATATATATATATATTTATTTATTTATTTATTTTACAGTGGAACCTTGGTACTCGAACAGCTCCCTACTCAAACAATTTGGTATTCGAATGCTTTGTTCTGTAAACAAATCGCTCGGTAGTCGACAGTTTGCTCAGCACTCGACCAAACAAACACGACCTGCCAGAACTTCACTGTAAACTATTTCGTGTTTCTTTGCATTTTTTATATTATTTGAATAAATAAGTCACCATGGGGCCTAAGAAGGTTAGTGATAACAGCCAACCAAAATGAAAATTAATTGGGAAAAATTCGTTCTGTACTGATACAGATTGGTACTCGAACAGCCTTCTGGAACCAATTAAGTTCGAGTGCCGAGGTTCCACTGTATATCTTATGCCTAAATCACTCAATTTAACTTATTATCAAGGAACATTTGAAACACTAGCATTAATTATTTCCTAATGGGCATTTAAAAAAAACTGAACAACATGGCCATATAAGTCACTATTGGCCTTCTTATCCAATTTTCCCTGGAAATCCTCATCTAGTAGTTAATTTGTAAGTGCTAAAATAAAATACAAGAGCAACTAACCTGAAAGGAGGCGAAAACTTGGTCGAGGAAGAGCCAGGCAAGCTCAACATAAGCATTAGTGGAAGTGGACAGTCCCCAGAGTACAAAGTAATGTACTCCAAAGAGTGGAACCAGCACCAACGTTGACTTGCCCAACTTTCTGTGAAGTAACGAGATAAGGAATTCACGATGCGAGGACTTCATCTAGTTTTTTGTGACTGTCATTAAACATAGCAGTGTGAATCAAAGTCTCACCTGTACTTCATAGACTCAGTAGATATGGATGACCTAAGCTTGAGAATCAACACACGAACCACATTGAGGAAAAAGAAGAAATTGATGAGGTTTGAGATGGCAACTGGGGCTCTGATGCACACCCAGAAGATCCACTGAATGTTATGCACCGTCCAGCAGTTGGTGTCATCCAAACTGGCCCGCAAGGTGGCCCAGATACCCACACATCCCAGCGGGAGTCCTGAAACATGGCCACAGCTAGCTTGAACTTGATTATGGCACTGTATGATTTATGCAGTTTTAACACTTTCATGTGAATGTAATAATTAACTTGACAGTGTAGTTTGGAGGGACTAAGTTCAATTCTGGTTAATGAGAAGATCAGCATCAACACCTGTATCATTAAACAATGCTGTACCAAAATACATTTTTAATGTTGTATGCTAAATGATCCATGCAGGTTTTGCGCTTTGTGAATAAACTGTGCTAATTATTAAAAATATAGTCTTAACTATGATTACAATTTTTATGAGGCCGTACTTCACCATAACGAGTAAGATTTAAGAACTAGAAAGTCTTATATAATACGGTAATGTATAAAAATGAAATTGGTGCTCAATTAACAACTGTACATAGTGATCCCTTCAGTGGTGGTGCCTTGAGAGTGAAGGGCTCTTGATTCAAAGAACTGGAGCTACTCTCCCCTTTCTCAGATCAAATCTGGAGATGTACAACTTATTGATATAGTGTTTACCCATGAATGTTACAATAATCATCTTAAAGTGATAAAAGCATAGTGGACATGGTATTGTTGAGTAGGCAAAAACATTGCTGATGACAAATTTAACTTGTCTGTGAGGTTGTGGGAATTTCTGGGGTTGTGTGTACAAGTGGGCAGAAGAATGAGAAGTATGGAAGCTGAAGTGAAAGAAAAAAAAATGAAAGTCAACAAGGGGATTTGAAAGTGGGAGGATCCAAGTAAATTTTAATACTTACCCCAGCCAAGGAGAACATAGAGAGTGATTGCTGAGGAGTCTGTGAAGAGTGCCATGAAGATAAGACTGTGCAGGTAGAGTCCTTCCATCAACAACCATGAGTAGTTGGCCAAGATGAAGTACTGCCACACGCAGATCATCACTTTGCACATCCATGTTTGCTGAGGTGCAAAGTTATTCATTATACACACTGTGTGTACCCTATGATATATATTTACAGGGGATGGTGGGAGGTCAAATCCTAGCTCTTGGCCTTACATCTTAAATCATACTGACAAACATTAGTAGTTTCTTACCTCTTGGGGCCTGATGTACCCACTCTTGAAGCTGTGTACAGAGTTAGCCTCAACACTTAATGATTTAATTCCACTATCTCATTACGTACTCTACTTTACCACTGAATGACCCACGTGGATTTTACAGTTTCATGAAAATAATCCTTGTTATCCTTAAATTAAAATATTACTTTCCAACATTACATTAATTTACTGTTTGGATTGTATCTATACCACCTTCCTCCTGACCCCTACATACAGTACTATACTATGTAAAGATATTTTACTTGCAAGATTAAAAAAAGCTAGAACCCTTGGTGCAATCACTACGTTGAAGTTGCTGATATCATTACTAATTTGCTACTGCTATTATCAATTTGCTATTACAGTAGCTCATTCTCACAGTGCACTCACAACCATTCAAACATCACAACTTACTTTCCATATCACTAGTTACTTCAGTGTCGTAATTGTTCATAATATATAAAGCAATGTAAATAAAAATTTATAGACAAGGTCAAGGTATTCAAGTTTGATCGAAGAAAATGGAGGGTATAGCTCAGGCTCTATTTCTGAGATTAAGAGCCCTTCATCAACAAGAGCCCTTCATCACCAAGAGCCCTTCATCACCAAGAGCCCTTCATCAACAAGAGCCCTTCATCAACAAGGGCCCTTCATCAACAAGGGCCCTTCATTAACAAGGGCCTTTCATCAACAAGAGCCCTTCATCACCAAGAGCCCTTCATCACCAAGAGCCCTTCATCACCAAGAGCCCTTCATCACCAAGAGACCTTCATCAACAAGGGCCCTTCATCAACAAGGGCCCTTCATCAACAAGGGCCCTTCATCAACAAGGGCCCTTCATCAACAAGAGCCCTTCATCAACAAGAGCCCTTCATCAACAAGAGCCCTTCATCAACAAGAGCCCTTCATCAACAAGTGACCTTCATCAACAAGTGACCTTCATCAACAAGTGACCTTCATCAACAAGTGACCTTCATCAACAAGTGACCTTCATCAACAAGTGACCTTCATCAACAAGTGACCTTCATCAACAAGTGACCATCAACAAGTGACCTTCCTTGAAGGACATAAAATCAAATTATGTACTTTTCTTTGTATATTTCATCTCAATTTACTGTTTCTATGGTATTACTACGGAGTTGTTAATTAATACACTTAAGTAAATACATATTCCCTTTAAATATTTGTTAGTCTGATGCTTGCCTGATATACTGCACATAAAATGGGGCTTTAAAAGAACAGTTTGTTAACGTATTGCCCTACAAGTTTGAGTACGAGCTCGCCATAGGTTCGATCGTATGGCAAGCCATTCTAATCTGAGAGTTCAAAGCGCTGTCTACTCCAGTCAGTGAGCACCACTTAGGATCTAGACTCTAGTCTAAACTACAACAGCTCAGATGGCAGATAGTTTCTCTCCAGTCCTCATATGTGCTGTTTACCTCCAAGGTAATGTGACCTAAGGAAAGAAACGCATTCACCATCACTCATTCCCTAGCTGTCTTTAGAGATGTGCACGAACATCACAGTTCCAATGACTCTCTGAACCCCAATATATCCCCACCCTCCAACACTTCAGATTGAAGTCAAATGAGTGAACCTGTTTCACCTTTTAATAACTTTCTTTTGATGGCAAGGGCGGTGCCAAGGGGAGGGGGAGAAGGGGATGTTGAAGCCCCCATAATAATAATAAATAATAATAATAATAATAATAATAATAATAATAATGCTTTGAAAAAAAAGGCTCTTCCAACCAGATTACCACCCCAAAGCCCCTCCTACGTAAAATTCCTGGAACCGCCTCTGCTTGATAGTAATAAATATATAAAGCTTAAACGTCCACTACCAACAAAGTCACACCAAAACTAAAGTAGCAGCAGTAATAAAGCAAGCAAGCAGTCTCATTAATGAAGACAAGTACACCACTTAGAAAAGCACTCGAAAAATACACAAAACTAATTGTAAGACGTGTAGGTATTTCTAGAGGAATGTTTTGATGTCAATGAAGGGCTCTTGATCCAAGAAATTTGAGCTACCTTCTTCCTTGGACCAAAACTGATTACCTATTCCCCGGGGCGCTTACGAATTTAGCGCTTCCTCGTGAATATTATAAGACATGCAGGAAGGCAGAAACAGTAATCGGAGGCAGAGAGATGATGAATGATGTAGAGGCAGGTAAGTAACGTGGCAGGCAGGCAGTGGGAGGCAGAAATACAGGGAGAGAAGGAAGTAGGCAACGGGAGAGAGGGCAGTCAGGCACGCAGTTGGTAGCAGGAGATACTCAGGCAGGCATGGAAGCACTTAAGAGGCACTAAGTTCCCTCGTCTTCTAATAGCATGTTCATTTTTTTCACTATAATCTACCTTGTCCATAATTACTATCGCATTTGCTTTGTCTGTTTCGTAAGATGAAGTCCAGGATCTTTCCTTAATTCATGGTATAACTTAACAAATCTTTGAGGACAATTGTGTTGCAGAGGTCTAAGACCTCTGCAACACGAGGTAGATTACAGTGGAAAAATGAACATGTTAATTGAAGACGGGGATACTTACGTGCCCCTTAAAATATGTCAGAAGAGTGCTACTCAGGCAGGGAGGGAGGCAGGCAGACAGACAGGTCGTAAGGGATATTACAACATGCAGGAGAATGATGGGTAGAGAAAGGAGTGAGATGTTTGGGGAGAGAAGAATATACGATAAAATCGTATCCAGAAAAAGATGACCGTAGGAGGCAAGGAAATGAGAAGGAAAGAGGGGTGGGAGAGAGGGGAAAAGATGGAATGAGGGAGAGGATGGAGTGAAGGGAGTGAGAAATAGAAGGGAGTGAGAAATAGAGGAAAGGGAGCACTAAAGCCAGGGAGCTTACCTTAGGCCAGAAGTTCGCAGCAGGCTGCACCATCCAGCATGCAACAAAATCAAACACAAATGACTAATACTCTCAGACATATTTTTTGCCTTATTTTATATATATATATATATATATATATATATATATATATATATATATATATATATATAATATATATATATATATATATATATATATATATATATATATATATATATATAATATATATATATATATATATATATATATATATATATATATATATATATATATATATATATATATATATATATATATATATATATATAATATAATATATATATATATATAATATATATAAATAATATAATTATATATATATATATATAAATAATATAATTATATATATATATATAAATAATATAATTATATATATATATATATATATATATATATATATATTATATATATATATATATATATAATATATATATAATCAATAACACTGCGACTAGCCGTGGATTCGAACCCATGTCATTTTGGCCCGCCTCATGTTAGTTTAATATCTATTATGGTGAGCAAAAATCGCACGTGACGCTCTAACCCACCGGACCACGCAATCCTACAAGAATCAAGCACCCAGCGGAGCTAGGTGTTTTACCTTGATCCGAGGACATACGGTGCTGTGGGTGCCTCTGAGCTAATTTCTTTCTACTCCCCGTTTGGTGTACTAACCTCCACGAGCAGTGTATATATATTATTGTAACCACAAACGAGTAGTATTAATAAATAACACTGCGACTAGCCAAGGATTCGAACCCATGTCGTTTTGGCCCGCCTCGTGGTTACATTATATATATATATATATATATATATATATATATATATATATATATATATATATATATATATATATATATATATATATATATATATATATATATATATATATTCCTTGTCGCTTTTACTGGTTTGTTTCACCCAATTTTTTCAGTGTCATTTTAGCGCGTGGTTGGACAGAGTTACACGCTCATAAACTGACATATCATTCTTATACACAGTATAAGCTATGCCCAGCATCCTTGGAATTATTCCAGTATCACCAGTATCACTGGTGCGACACGACCTCTGTTAGTTATGTCTGGACAGAGTTCCTCCCATTTAATATCCCCTGGATCGATTGTCCTCTCCAGCATTCTTAAATCCATAAATACAAAACACCGATATGAAAAACAGTACAGAATGGGTCACATAACCAGAGACCAAACAAAACGTTACTCGTCAATCCTAACCAGCCTGATAAGAAGGGCAAAAAAATTGTATTATGAGAACAGATTATCCAACTTACGAGGTGATATAAAAAAGACCTGGAAGACCCTATCAGAAATTCTGGGAACAAAAAAGATATCACGACATAGCGAAATAAAATTAGCAAAATCAGATGAACCCCAACTCCCACCAACAGAAACAGCAAACAGACTCAATGATTTCTTCTCCACTATAGGTCAAAACCTAGCCAATAAAATCCCAAGCTCAGATACCCCACCAAATGACTACCTCACTGGCAACTACCCGAACACACTGTTCCTAGCTCCGACTAACCCATACGAAGTCTCCCTTATTATCAACGCACTGAAAAACAAGGCAGGAGATTTAAATACCTTACCACCCTTTATATACAAAAAAGCGTCACAAGTACTATCACCAATCATTGCAACACTCTTTAACAAATCCATTGAATCCTCCACCTTCCCTACAGTTCTCAAAATAGCAAGGGTCACCCCGATCCATAAAGGAGGAGACCAGAGTTGAATAACTATAGGCCAATATCCAATTTACACCCTCTCTCAAAAATCTTCGAAAAATTAATTCATAAACGAATCTACTCCTGCCTCATCTCCCAAAACATTCTCAACCCCTGCCAATTTGGATTCAGGCCTAATAAAAATACTAATGATGCTATTATACACATGCTAGAACATATATACACTGCAATAGAGAAAAAAGAAGTCCCACTGGGGATCTTCATTGACTTACGTAAAGCTTTTGATACAGTTGACCATGACTTGCTCCACGTAAAATTGTCACACTATGGTATTAGAGTGCACTCCCTCAACTACCTCAAGTCTTACCTCAGCAACAGAAGCCAATATGTGTACGCAAATGGGGCAAGCTCTTCCGCACAACCAATTACAGTTGGTGTCCCTCAGGGAAGTGTCCTTGGCCCTCTTCTCTTTCTCCTATACATAAATGACCTATCAAATGCTTCGCAATTACTCAAACCCACACTTTTTGCAGATGACACTACATACGTCTTCTCTCACCCGAGCCCAGTCACGCTAGCCAATACTGTAAACACCGAATTACAGAAAATATCTACCTGGATGAGGACTAACAAACTTACACTAAACATTGACAAAACCTACTTCATTCAGTTTGGTAACAGAGCTACAGATGTACCTCTTAACATAACAATAAACGGATCACCTATCACAAAGCTAAAGAGGGAAAATTCCTAGGAATCCACCTCGATAATAGACTCAAATTTCATACACATATACAACAAATTTCTAAGAAAATCTCCAAGACTGTAGGCATACTATCGAAGATACGGTACTATGTTCCACAGTCAGCCCTCCTGGCCCTATATCACTCTCTTATTTACCCCTATCTCACCTATGGAATTTGTGCATGGGGCTCAACAACAATTAACCATCTCAGACCACTAATTACCCAACAAAAGGCTGCAGTTAGAATGATAACAAATTCTCACTACAGGCAACACACTCCACCAATATTCAAAACACTGAACCTACTCATCATACAAAACATCCATACTTATTATTGCACCTATTACATACATAGAACACTTAACTCTGATATTAACCCTCCCCCTCAAACATCTCCTTGCCAACCTCAACAGAACACATGACCATAAACACAGACACAGATCACTCTTTGATGTTCCTCGTGTCCATCTCACGCTATGCAAAAACTCAATGCACATAAAAGGCCCTAAAATCTGGAATTCATTACCTGTAAATATAAAAGAAACACTACCTGTTTATAAATTCAAGTCTCTTCTCAAAGATCACTTACTCACTCAAAACCAAATAAATACTGAATAACTGAACCTTATAAATTGTATATCCTATTATGTTACTCACAATTATATCACACAAATGTTAAACCTAGGACCCAATCTAACTTTATTATTTTTTTAAATACACTACCTAACAGAATACTCCATTCGACAATGCAAGCAACCATATGACCTGTCTTTCTAATACTCATTTGTGCTTTATAGTTATCTGTTTACAATAATGTTTTATCACTGATTTCATCATTGCTTAGTTAATCTTAAGTTAATTTTAAGCCAGCCCGTAATGCTATGCATATAAGTGGCTTTGGCATGCTGCTCTTACCTGTATTTTTTGTACCTCTGTTTGTATGCTTAAATTACTAAATAAATAAATAAAAATAAATAAATAAATGTTGCCAGTCTCCACGCTGCCAGCCTCCACGCTGCCAGCCTCCACGCTCCCAGCCTCCACGTTGCCAGCCTCCACGTTGCCAGCCTCCACGCTGCCAGCCTCCACGTTGCCAGCCTCCACGCTGCCAGCCTCCACGTTGCCAGCCTCCACGCTGCCAGCCTCCACGCTGCCAGCCTCCATTGTTGCCAGCCTCCATTGTTGCCAGCCTCCATTGTTGCCAGCCTCCATTGTTGCCAGCCTCCATTGTTGCCAGCCTCCATTGTTGCCAGCCTCCACGCTGCCAGCCTCCACGCTGCCAGCCTCCACGTTGCCAGCCTCCACGATGCCAGCCTCCACGTTGCCAGTCTCCACGCTGCCAGCCTCCACGCTGCCAGCCTCCACGCTGCCAGCCTCCACGCTGCCAGCCTCCACGCTGCCAGCCTCCACGCTGCCAGCCTCCACGCTGCCAGCCTCCACGCTGCCAGCCTCCACGTTGCCAGCCTCCACGCTGCCAGCCTCCACGCTGCCAGCCTCCACGATGCCAGCCTCCACGATGCCAGCCTCCACGATGCCAGCCTCCACGTTGCCAGCCTCCACGATGCCAGCCTCCACGATGCCAGCCTCCACGATGCCAGCCTCCACGATGCCAGCCTCCACGTTGCCAGCCTCCACGATGCCAGCCTCCACGTTGCCAGCCTCCACGTTGCCAGCCTCCACGATGCCAGCCTCCACGATGCCAGCCTCCACGATGCCAGCCTCCACGTTGCCAGCCTCCACGTTGCCAGCCTCCACGTTGCCAGCCTCCACGTTGCCAGCCTCCACGTTGCCAGCCTCCACGATGCCAGCCTCCACGTTGCCAGCCTCCACGATGCCAGCCTCCACGATGCCAGCCTCCACGATGCCAGCCTCCACGTTGCCAGCCTCCACGATGCCAGCCTCCACGATGCCAGCCTCCACGCTGCCAGCCTCCACGATGCCAGCCTCCACGCTCCCAGCCTCCACGTTGCCAGCCTCCACGTTGCCAGCCTCCACGTTGCCAGCCTCCACGTTGCCAGCCTCCACGCTCCCAGCCTCCACGCTCCCAGCCTCCACGCTCCCAGCCTCCACGCTCCCAGCCTCCACGTTGCCAGCCTCCACGTTGCCAGCCTCCACGCTGCCAGCCGCCACGTTGCCAGCCTCCACGCTGCCAGCCTCCACGCTCCCAGCCTCCACGCTCCCAGCCTCCACGTTGCCAGCCTCCACGTTGCCAGCCTCCACGCTGCCAGCCTCCACGTTGCCAGCCTCCACGCTCCCAGCCTCCACGCTCCCAGCCCCACCTCCAGCCTCCACGCTCCCAGCCTCCACGCTCCCAGCCTCCACGCTCCCAGCCTCCACGCTCCCAGCCTCCACGCTCCCAGCCTCCACGCTCCCAGCCTCCACGCTCCCAGCCTCCACGCTCCCAGCCTCCACGCTGCCAGCCTCCACGCTGCCAGCCTCCACGCTGCCAGCCTCCACGCTGCCAGCCTCCACGCTGCCAGCCTCCACGCTGCCAGCCTCCACGCTGCCAGCCTCCACGTTGCCAGCCTCCACGTTGCTAGCCTCCACGTTGCC